TTAACTCTTTTCCCCTATCTTGATTTCCTGACATGTTTCCTCCTCCACAATCCTGCTATTCACCACCATTTTCCTACCATGAATCATAATAGCTGGTCGGGGAGAAGAATTTAGATAGAATTACGATAAAACCTCAATTCTTTGGATCTCTGTTCAGCAGACATTGGATGCAGCTGAAAGATTTTCCTTTGGATTTTACTCTCAAACAATAAAGTCCATTATTTCTGAAGCACTCCAGACTTAATTATCTAAATTCTATTTATGTCATTTGCATCAATTTATACCATTTGCATAATTATCAAAATGATATAAATTGATGCAAATGACTTAAAATAATGGGTTTCATACATACGCAAATGAAAAATGGTGTCAACAACATACATTCATATTTAATGGAACCTCTTCCACCCAAATGAGATGAAGACAACTTCATGGGCATAAAGCAGAATAAAGGTATTTGTGTTGGGTGGTTGCAGCCAAGGAAAGGCCCACTGTGTCAGCAGTGCAAAGTGACCACGTTTGGGCTCCTGTTTCTACAGAGGCAGAAAGCAAATATTTATGCTATTCCAGGAGACAGATGTAATTGGCTGAGGGAAGCACAATCATAGGTTAAAAAACTCTTTTTTTTGTTGCCAGGAAAATTATCTGGACATATCCATGAAATGAACAGAAACTTTACTTCACAAGGAGGAGACTTTACTTTTTTCTTTTTCTTTTTAATGGCTCGGGGCAGAGTTCTGGGAAGAATAATCACTCATTTTGCCTGCTTTTAGGAAAAGATGTGGATCAGCTGAAGTAGTCCTGCACCCTCCTGCCACCTCTATTACAAATGGCTCCAGGATTGGCTGGTTAGGTTACTCATTCCGATAAGTCATGTTGTTGACCAGTATGAGTCAGAACTGTGCCCAGAAGGCCTAGTTTTGAGGCAGGGTAGTCCCTGAAGCCATGGGCAGTTGATCCCTCCTCACTCTCCTTTCCACCCCTCATTCAATATAATTGTTATATATTAACCCTGCTGTTTTCACTTGCAGTGTCTTTCCTTTGACCTCACAGGGTATCACTGTGCATTTGATGTTTCCCATTCTCAATTGGTCATTTTTCCCAAGGCCATATGTTGCATGCTACATGAAGATGCTGACCGGAATACTTTGTTGACCTAACCTTCATGACTCTGTCATCCTCACTTAGTCAGCCCAATGTTTCTAGCCCTTGTCTTACAAGTTTTTGTATTGTAGAAAAATCTAGTTTTAGAAGAGGAACTTATATATATCTTTGGAAAAATTACCAATTTTACATGTGATGTTTAATAAAATAATACATGATAAAAAAATAAACCATTGGATATAACCTTGCCTATCAACCTAATTCTCCTAGTCTAGAGATTCTCCATTCTTTCCCTCACCCTTGATTACTTGGGTGTTTCCAGAAAACACTATTGTATGATCTTCCTCTCTCAGTCACTGAACGTTGGCCAAGGGAACTAGATGTTGTTATCTTCTGCTTCCTATATTCTTCCATCTGTTTACTTTCAGCAAAAACTGTGTTCAAGAGGAAAAGATGGAAGAGTTAAGAGATATTCTTCGGGAAGCAGCCTTTCTATTTTTTCTCTTCTTGTAGCTACTTGTGCTGAACAAGGAAAACCAAAATTGATGAGGCACATCTGTTGGAGATTCAAATTTAGCAGAAACCTTTGTTAGAAGATATGCATCCTAACATTGGTAGAGTGCTGAAATAATCTTTAGTATTCAACTAGCAGCAACACTCATTTTTTAAAAAGAAAGTTCCTGATACAGTTATCTTGGATGCAGAATATGGGCTTAACCATTAGTTCTTTTGTGAAAAAAAAAGGCATCAGGACTCAAACCAAGGACAAAATAATATCAGAGCATTTTAACCTCCCAGGATATTCTATTACAGATCTCAAAGTAGCAGTTTTGAAATAAAGAAACTACACCAGCACAACAGCATGAGACAGCTGAGCTTACATACATCAATACATTTCAGATTATCTCACAAGGTTTGAACAAATACAAGGTGATTCTGTGCACATTACAATTGTTAATTGATAAAGTACTTGTAACCTGTCCCCTCTAAAACCTTCATCTGCATAAATGCCAAGTCTCCTCCTCCCTTTTCCACCTCTGCCTCCTCCCAATGTATCTAAATTCTACATCAGTTGAGTCACTCCACACATCTGATGTAGTGAGCTGTTGCTCATGAAGCTTAAGCCTTGGCAATGAAGATATCAAAGTTAGTGATAGCTTCTGCCTTTTAGGATCAACCATCAACAGCAAAGGAACAAGCAGTCAAGAAGTACACCACAGACTAGCACTTGGTAGAGCAGCTATGAAGGCCTTGGAAAAGATAATCAAATATTGTGATGGCGTTCCCTGTAACACTCTATGGAAGCGAAGGTTGCACTTTAAAGAAACAGGATAGGAAGAATATTGGCACTTTTGAACTTTGGTGTTAGAGAAGACTCCTGAGAATATACCATGGACAGTCAAAAAAACCAAACCGATGGATCATTGAACAAATCAGCCGAGAGTTCTCACTTGAGGCACAGATGACCAGGCTCAAATTATCCTACTTCGGATACATTATGTGAAGACCTACCTCTCTGGAAAAAGCTTTAATGCTGGGAAAGGTGGAGGGAAAGAGAAGAAGAGGATGATCAGCAGCAAGGTGGATGGGCTCAGTTACAGTGGCAGTGGGTGCAGTGTTGGAAGACCTGAAAGATCAGGTTAGGGACAGATCGTCATGGAGAAAATCTATCTATGTGGTCGCTAGGAGTCAAAAATGACTTGATGGGACATAATCAATCAATCAATCAATCAATCAATCAATCAATCAATGGTATTCAGGAGTACAGGGGAAAAAGTTCTGCTGCGAAGACTTTTAATCTCAAGCCTCCAAAAGGGCAAGAGAAAGGAGGGGTTGTGGAGATGACTTTAATAAATAATCCTTGCTTAAGCTTACTGAGGAATGTGGTGAATTTGAAACTAGGTTGAATACTCTGATGGCTCTTCTTAATAAATGGGGAAAATGTCCAAAAATCCAGAGGAAGTTATTGTTGCACTGTAACTTCAAATGTATAAATAAATCTGTAAGTCCATAGGAAGCCCCAGACATACTGCCCATCACCATTCCAAACTCCCTGTCATGGTGCCATTCTTCAGCTACCTTGGGAACTGTAGGAGGTTTTGTAAGCAGCAGATACCTATCCTAGTTGGAAAAAAAAGACACGATAGCTTTACAGGGACTTGTGATCAGTGCTGGCTACAGGAAAATCACATATCAGCTTTGAGGTCTAGAAATTGTTAGTGGATGCAGTCATGCTTTTTTTGAAGAAAGTGGTGTACTTGGGTAACACTGGCCAATTCATCATTGGTACTGACATTGTCCAGCCTCCAGATTTGCCCATCAACATCTAGGGCGAGAGGGACAGGGAAAGGTGGTGTCATGCAATCCTCTGAGATTGCAGTTGAGTTGAATACCTGGGTGATCTATGGCTGCCGTGCCAGGCCTTTTGTGCCAATCTGTGCTTCTTCATGAAGAAGCTTATTTCTTTGGTTGGGATGGTAATGTTCAACTGGTTTTTCATACGACCACAGCTCTCCACCATGCCATCGTTATTACAACATTCATGTATGGGTACTCAGGAACTTTTTTTCAAGGGAGATTCTTTTTTCAAGGGGAATTATTTTTCAAGGATGGTCAATTCTGAGTCTGCGGTTGCTGGGAAAGAATATTCACAACCAGAGTTGGAATTAGAAAACCATGGCAGTGCGTGGGGGTTGGGTAGCAAATTTCTGACAGGTCATTTCATCACTCACATGTTAAAACATTTAAACATTGAACAACTACCAGATTTATTGAAACAAGTTCTTGACGTGGCATCCTTTTCTTTCAGATAACAGATGGGTTTAGAGCAGCAGTGTTTCTGCCCTGTGTGTTTATACTGACGCTGACTGTCTATATCCATCTGTACTGCCTGTAGTCCAGAAAATAAGTAAGTAGCAGGAAGATATGGAACTCTATGGATCTCTGGGGTGATTCTGTTTCGGAGGGAGATGCCATGGCAGAAAATCATGGGTTCTATTAGGTGGCATTGAGGAATTGGTGAGACTGGGAATGTGACCACTCTGTCTGAATTGTACTGTACAGGTTGGGCAAAAACTATCAGAGATAGGCAGTTCCTCAGATATCCAGTCTCTGTACCACAAAGGGCTTTAAAGGGCTTGAATTGCATCTGAAAACAGACTGGCAACCAGTGCGGCTCATGGAGCAGAGTGTAACATGGGCATATTGTGGCATTTCAGTCACTGCCTGCACCACCACATTCTGGACCGGCTACAGCTTTCCAAGTGGCCTTCAAAGGCAGCCCCATGTGCAGTGCATTGCATTGCCATAGTCCACAAAGGAGGTGACTAGGTTGAATGACTGTCTGGAGAGCCCCCTGGTCCAGGAAGAGGCATAACTGGCACCAGATGAATTGGTGCAAAGGCCTTACTGGCCACCACTGCCTGCTCTTTGAGCAGGTGCTGCAAGCCTTATAACAATTGTGGAAGTAGGTTAATGTACCTTTCACCTCATGATAAGCTGCACAATAGGCGAATGGGTCTGCTGTGGAAAAGCCCTTTTCTCTTCGTCCCCTGGCCTTGGCATCTCTTCTGTGTGCTGGTGTGACTCCAATGGAGAATTGGAACTCTAGGTTCTGAAGCCTCTTTTTTTCTGTTCCTCAAGGGGTTGGTCATCTGACGGACTGGCTGAACTAGAGGGTAGGAAGCTCTAAAACGGGTAGTCTTACAACCAGTCACAATCTCAGAAGTGAAAGTCCCCAAGCCCAGGTCTCAAGATAAACCAGAATAAGGTTAAGTACTATTTTGGAATACTTCCCTCTATGTATTTGTTCCCTTTCCCATATACTTTGGTCTATTTTGAATTCTGAATACAAGTTATGTTGTTTTTTCCCAGAGAGAGAGAGAGAGAGAGATTTATTTTGTGGTATCATTCTACATTTACTGTATTGCTCTTTAAACTGTCTAAAAATGGTAATGTACGCAATGAGTTTGAATGAGCAGTCTGTATAACATCCTTTGGCAGTCTTTCCCTCCCTTAAAATGTCTGACAATGAGTATACACATGAGAGGCTGATCACTATAAAAACCTTTACCCATGTAATGTTAAACTGTACATACCAGCACTGTAACACATGATTGTTAGACTGTTTTCTCTTCACTTAGAATCACTCATGTCTTGTCACAAAATATGGCACAATTTTGCACACCACAAAGGATCTTCTGCTTTGCTGATACAAGCAGACAGATAGAATGATAGTGATTTCTAACAAGTGCATATTCTCACCGAAAAGACACAGTCTCATTTGACAATGGTTCATGAGGACATACCATTTCTACTGCAGCCAGGTTCCACTGCATTCCCCTAACCAAGTATCTCATTTATATATGCAAAACTATACACTGATGCAACTCCTTAAAAACTTATATGTTGTAAATATACAGATATGCAATCAGTGCCATTTAAACTGATAGATACATTTTCACCATACATCTCAACAAATACAGTATGCAACCTATTTAGATACTCCCATAACTGATACCCACAAACCTATGTATTTCAGTTTACAATGCTTAAATCATGTGCTTGCACCAGAGATATTCTCAAATATATAACAGGACAGCATAGGCAGGGAATCATAGCAAGACATTCTGGGACTGGTGTACTCTTATTAGGTGATTCCACTTACGCTCTCTCCAGAATACATTTTTGGAGAATGAACAAGAAGCACAATCCTCTCCTTGAATGTAAACCGCCTTCAGTCTTTTTATCCATTGTCTGTACCACCAAAAACAGGTGGTGAGGGTCAATAGCTCATTCCTAGCAAAGACCTGGTTCCCAAAGGAAAACTCTTTCTTAGATCTTTTCCTCCCTTCCTTCAAAACTTTTGGTGTTTTGCTCTATGGATTAAAAAAATAATGTCCTTTCCTTTCCTTTCCTTTCCTTTCCTTTCCTTTCCTTTCCTTTCCTTTCCTTTCCTTTCCTTTCCTTTCCTTTTTTTGGTATTTGCAACAAATTTACATTCACAACATCTCTTGAAGTTTTATTTATTGCATGTTATCCAAAAATTTCCATCACATGTAAAGATATGTGAAGTAGCTTTTCCAATACAAGTAAACAAAACTTAAAGCAGTTTTTTTTTCATATTTTTTTTAAATTGGGTGAGGCACTGATGCTGGTGAATTTAGTCTGATGCTAAAATGCACTTTTTTTTGGTGGAGGGGGAATGCAGCCTTCTTCCCAATGCAAATTAATGCAGATATTTCAGCTACATTAAAAAACGTATTTCAAATACAAAACAAATGCTAAAATATAGGAAAATGATCCTAAATTTAGAATGGCTTCCTCCCCCCAACCAAAAAAGAAGAGCAGTTAGAAAAAAAGTTATATAGACAAAAATCTTGTACAATATCCAACTTCCCTACTTTGACAAACTATAGCTGGCAATTCCAGCTGAAACCAATCCTGGAAATTCTCCTCCACCAATTTTTTATGCATGACACCTTTGTCTATGTGTATGCATTGACGTAGTTTTTCACACATACCTGCAAGATGGTATTCCCAAAAAGGTAGAGCCAGAACAAAAATAAACAAGTGTATATTAATTGAATTAATACCTCCTAATTAAAAGCAATAGCCTAAAACAAGGTACCCTGTTGATAAAATTAATTGAACCACTATCTGCATACATGACTTTTTCCTTCCCTCTCTCTCTTTCACAGACGGTCCATGCATATTTCCCTTCTTCCTTCCAGAGAAACAGCAAATAAAAAGGAGGATGAGGAGAAAGGGGGCAACAAATATGGACTGGGATGGAAGATGGAATTGCTAATGGAAGGAAAGTCCTATTTATAGTTTACAGAAAGGGTTACATTCACCAGCAAGTATCCCAGACAATTAGTTCTCATTTCAACAGCTTTTCTATCATTATCAGTAGTACAAGAAAGTGAGTTGACCCATCCTCCATTCTAAAAGTCATGGCTGTTTTGGGTGGGGCGGGGGGAGACATACACAAATTTTCCTATTGAAATTTTATTAAATAATTGGGTTTTTTTTAAGTTATTGGATTTTTTTTTCTCCTAACCACTCATATAAACAGGCCCTTCCCCATGCTCACAGAACAGCAATTTTCTTTCACTGGTGAGGACAGAACAAGATACACAGTTAGGAAAAGTCCAACGCTTCCAATAGTGTGGCAAGCCAACTCTAGTTCCACAGCTGAAGAGCAATCTTCAGTAGTGTTAATAGTTGCTTGTGCCCATCTGAAAGAAACTCTGGTCAGCCAGAGGTACCAGGGCCACCATCACATGATTTACCTGGTGTTCCTTTGAAAGGCCACGGGCTATTTGAATAAGCAGTGCATTCCTATTTGAAAATAGTCCTTCAAATCCATTCATTTGTTTCTAGCATTTCAAAGGAGAACTTCCCAAGAGGCACCCAAATCATGACTGGCCTTGCAGCATGGATTCTCAGCGGGTTTAGCATTATCATAGGAGGCAAGCAGAGGAATTTACATTTCTTGTTATGTTGAAAAAGATTACTGCAATTCAGCAGGGGATGGAGCTGGAATGAGAACGAGCAACCTGTCTCTTGGTATAGTAAGCCCCCCTGCCCCATTTAAAGAATTTCTTCCCCAAATAGCTGAAAATGGTCTCCACATGCATGAGGTTGATGGAAGCTTTTGGCCTCGAATTACAATGTAATAAACTAATCACTTTTAGCTTTGTGCATCTGAATGGAGATTTCAAAAGTCACTTTATTGCTGTGACCATTTGAAAGCATTCAGTGCATTCTAATTATCATTTAATTGAGCAAGTCCTTGCTGGATCCTCTTTCTAATATGCAAGACAACTGTATCATATCCTGGCTCAATTCAGATTCCAAGTAATTTTCCATGAGGTGAAAACCTATACATGCTGGAACATTTAAAATATCAGTCAATGATATTCAAAGAGAAGAAACACATAGTTGCCTAATGATATAACCATAATGTGAAAAAAGGCTGGGTGAAGCACCTGATTGACTGTCAGCTGAAAGCAGAAATTCTCTATTGTGTTAGACTAAAAAAAATCTCAGCCTCAAATTGACAACGCTGAGGGGTGACAAAAGGTAAGGGAACAGACAGAATAGAAATGGAGAACCAGTGGTGCTCAGGCCAGTCATCCTTTAGGCTTGGCAATTTTTTTTTTTCAGGTTAAGCCAGAGTATATTTAGCAAAGTAAGCAAAGGGCAAAATGTGGATTCTTCTTGTCATGGACTTGTCAAGTTCTCAAAGCCACTGTAAGTGAAAGGAGGTAGGCTGGGAAAACATGAGACTGTTTGTTGCAAGCAAGCAATCTGGTTGATATCACACTTGCCAGCATCTTCACCATCTCTGAAGTAGACACTGTCATGGGAATTGCTAGAAGGATCAACATCAAAATAGTTGTAAGGCCGAAGTAAAAAGCCCACTCCGTTGCCAATTGTCACTGTAGTGGGGATGTCCTCAGCATGTGGCACATGTAAGAATCCAACTGAGATCCAGGCCACAAGATCCTAGAGTCGTAGAAGAGTCATAGAAGAAAAAGAAAGATTAGCAAGAATTAGCAAGATTAAGTATTAGCAAGAACCCCCCTTAGCCATGAGTGACATTTCTCTGATAATAAAGGTATGGAACTCAGTTGCATTTCACGGAACTACGTCCCCTTGAGAACTGGCTGCATGTCAGTGAAGCTCAACTAATTCTGTTTGTTCAGATGGTCTGCAACCACACTGAAATTCAGTCATGCATCAGATGTGCAAACACACTGCCTACAGAATAATACTGTACTATTTTGTGTTATTTTTCTTCATTTCCTTTACTATATACCTCTTAACATTACTTGCATCCTTTCTTGGCTGCTTGCATTACTTTCTTATTTATTTAGATTAACTTTTGGTTCTCATTTGCACAAGTTTTCAATTTTTTGAAGGAAGTCTTCTTGCCTTGAACAGCTTTTCTGATCACATCAGTAGTAGTAGTAGTGTGTGTGTGTGTGTGTTTGTCTCAAAAACTGCAAGATGGTGGGTGCAGCAGCACCCGTCTGCACACACAGGGACAGGGCTTGATTGTGACGCTGCGCCTGCCATCTTGCAGATTTGGCTGAGCTTTGGAGGTATCCCTGGGTCTCACATGAATCACATCCTTGAACTGAGCACCACCTTTCCTAGTCTGAGATATATTTTCTAACTGGGCAGCTGCTACTGTAGTTTTGAATAACCTCAAAGCATTCTGGAAAAAAGTAACCAGGTTAATTCTCTCTTTCAACTTACTTTTCATTCTTCCTTTTCTGGAGGTTTGCTCTTTTGAAGTCGAATGTGTATGAGCCTTTCCTCATATGTCTATACATCTTCTCTCTCTCTCTCTTTTTGTCATGTCCTCATAATGTTGCTTTCATCTGATTCCCAGCCCATTCCTGAGGCAGCTTTAAGATAGCCCTAGCTGTTCCAATGCTAAGGTGGGGTTTTTCTCTTAACCTGACACTTATGTTTTGGCCATGGGTATAGTCTTACATGTTTCACCGACCATTCTGTCAGTGATGAAGTCAAGTGACTCCTAAGGGACTGGATTGGTCCAGCTCCTATTAGCCACTTGAGCTGATGCAGCTTGTGGCTTTCTCTCAAGAAGCTAGATACTGTTCTTCTGGGCCTTTATGATCTGGGCAGCAGGGAAGTCCGGGTCTTAATTGGCTGTACCTCCCAGGTTTCTATGCCTGGCTTTGAAAGAGGGATCAGCTCAATTAAAAGAGAAATGGTGCTGGGATCAGCTGCTGCTGATGCAACAGAAGATCTCCCTCCTGCTTTGCTGAGTAACTCCTTCCCCCCAGACTTCTCATTTTTTAATTTAAACATGGGGTTATCACTCTTTTGTAACTCAACTTAATAGTTGGCAGGTATAGGGAGAGCTGTCTCTAATCCCACAAAGTCCTGGAGGTCCTGAAGTAGCTGGCTATCCCACTTCACCTGCCTTGGGATATTATATATTTACTTATTTATTTAAACAATTTATACAGCCACCCAAGTTGCAAATAGCAACCCTAGGCTACTGACATAGGATTAAAAACATAAAACAAAAGAGCCAATAAACAGTAAAGCCACAAAATCAAATCACAACACAACTAAGGACAAACCACAATCATATTAACATTCCCCACACTAATTCAGAAGCTCATCCAATATCCTGGCCCAGGGGACAAACCAGGTTTTGAAGGCCTTACAGAAGACCAACAGGGCTGGGGCCATTCAATTCTGGATCAGCTGAAAGAGCTGGGAGAGGGGGCAAATGAAGGGGGGAGAAGTAGCTTTTCATTAACTTGACCAGCTGATCTGTGGGACTGGAGACCTGGTGGGTAAAGAGACAGCTCTTTTGGCAATTAAATGTAATAGTCTTACAGACATTCTTTCCAATTGCCTCAATAAGACTTTTTTTGACATCTACAGGCTACATCTCAAGACTCTCTTCTCTGATCTGACCTGTTGGCATTGTCGATGCCATGGTAGTTTCTTCTTGCTTGTCCTTCACCTCCTCCATGTAAAGCATAGTTGGGTCATCTCAGCACTTACCTCATCAACTATGGTCTCATTGTCTATGAAGCTTGCAAAGGTCACCAGGGGATCCCATGGATCATTCTGGTTATAGATGCAGGTGCTGGTAAGTTCCTCCTCTTTCTGCTTAGTGACAGCCAGCTTGTACCTGAAGTAGACAGAAAACAGGGGAAATGGCAGAGAAAATGGAGAGGAGAAAAGAAGCAGGATCTTTATGCTGTCCCTCAGCAGTGCAAACGAATTCTCTAATTTCTCTAATTCTTTTAAAAATATAATCAATGGTGAGTCTATGACCATATCATCATAATCAACTGAAGCCCATACAGTGGTTATGTTTAGTGTAGATTGTTTTTCAATCCCGGCTATGGATTTTGTTAATTCAGTTGTATTGGTTTTATACGTTTTTTTAAAGATATGGCTTGATTGTTTTTCTTTAGTTTTTAAATTGTTGTAAGCCACCCAGAGTCATGCAGTTCATCAATATAAACCAAACAAATGAATAAGCTGCATTGCCTTTTCCCCCGGCATCATCCTTTAACTTAAACAAGGTGCCATTTATCTAAAAAGCAAACGTAAGACTACGATAGGAACCTACCTGCCCCAGCTGATGGCCTTCTCCATGGGGCTAGTTTGGGGCAAGTGCTCGCCTGCAAAGCTGATGATCTGGATGCGGTAGCTCTGTTTGTGGCCCCACTGATTTTCATTGTTAGAACTGAAAAGAAGGTACCGTGGGATTTTGCCATCAAGTAGGAAAGCGGCTTTTTCTTCTGTATCCAGGCTTTGGTGGGTGAGGATTGGCCGCTGGATTGTGTGCTCTGTGCTCCAAGGGGCCTGCACAGGTTCATATGCCATGTCAAGGTCCATCAAAGAGTTCTTGACTCCTAACAAACAAACAAACAAAAAGGATGAGAAAAATGCTTCCTGTCTTGGACATCTGCCTAGGGATGTACCTGCTAAGCAAGGGAAAGCTTACAAACAATGGATTAAACACTAAAGCCAGTTTGGGATTGTGGACAAAATGGCTTATCTTATGATTGGGAGAGTTTGTCTGCTGACTCACCATACAGCCTTGTTCCAATGATTATCTCTCAGCCGCTGTGGCTCATCTATACATCAGGAACAATAGCAGCCTCCTCAGAGGACTGCTATAATATCTTACCCTACATATCTTAAGGATCTCCTTCTTCCTTGCAAACAAAGTCAACCAACAAAATCTTTTGGATAGGTACCATGTTCTTTTTGGAAGGGAACGTGAGGGGCCTTTTCAGAGGCTGCTTTTTAAAATTTATTTTTATTGCTTTTAAAATAATGACAGAAAAAGAAAAAAAAGGAACAAAACACAAAGGTAGAAATACATGATAGAAATACATACATTGTCAAAGAAAAGCCATACATAACAAGTGTTTTTAAAAAAGGTGAAAAAAAAACAACAGCAAAAAGAAAAAAACAAAACAAAATATATCATTATAACAGTAAACAGTTTCAATTCTATGTATAGTTATCTAATGCAAATATTATACCAGTATAAATATATTTATTTCTAATCCCCTTATATAACTATTGTGCTTTTTTTAACCTACTGTATTTTGCATAAATGAGTTCCATATTTCATCATACTTGTCCATACAAAGTCTATGTCTATAGGCAATCCACTCATAGGTGGCAAGTGCAATCAGTTCTTCAATCCATTGAATGAAAGGGCCAATGTGTTTATCTTTCCAATGCTGCAATCTCAATCTTTGGCCATAGTAAGGGCACGGAGAATCCATTTACACTGTCCAGTTGTCAAATTCCTTGTACTAGGTATGTAGTTCAAGAGAATCTTATCCTCTGAAAATCTTAGTTTTTGTCGCACGGTCACATTTACATGGTCCACTACTTTCTACCAAAACTTAGTAAGTATAGGACATTGTAAAAACATGTGTTTTAAAGAATCAATATCCTTATTATGTCTCTAACAAGATGCTGTCTTAGACAAATCGTTTTCTATACAACGTAGTAGAGTCCAATAAATTCTAAATATTATTTTTTGTTGTATAAGTCATAATTTAAGGCCCATTGACACTCTTGCTACAGAAGTTAAGACACTCTCCCATTGTCTAGGCAATATAGGAACCTCTAATTCTTTATTCAATATAGGAACCTCTAATTCTTTATTCAATATAGGAACCTCTAATTCTTTATTCAATATAGGAACCTCTAATTCTTTATTCAATATAGGAACCTCTAATTCTTTATTCAATATAGGAACCTCTAATTCTTTATTCCACTCATTTCTTAGCATCTGCATATCAGATTGATTTATTGATTACAAATATCTATAAAAACTAACAGTAGGTTTTTTAGTTCTAAAGGATTTAACAAGTTGTTCTAGAATCTCAGGTGTTTCAGAACCTGAAAATGCTGCTGGTCCAAACAATGTTGTTAACAAATGTTGTAACTGTAAATGTTGCCATTGGGTTACATCTGATAGATGATATTTATCTCTTAACACAGTGTATGTTAAAAATTCATTTTCATCATCTATCAATTGGTCCAAAGTCAATATCCTTGCTTCCATCCAATTTTTTCATATCACCATCTTTTTCTCAATTTTTAATGTTAGGTTTCCCCATAAAGTCAATTTAGCATGGGAAAAGGGGTCAAATCTTTTTTTTATTAGTACGTTCCATAGCTTTCTAACTGACAATCATTTCCAGAGATACTAGAGTTCTAGTGTATTTAGATCCTAATACTGTCCATCCAACCAAAGGTGCTATATATGTATATTCCCAAAGTTGCCCAAATCAGAAAGTTATTGTTGGAAAAAGGAAATCAATTGTTGGCTTCCAGTATTCAATACTTGACAATAGGTAAGCTTGATGATTCAGTTCCAGATTCGGAAAACGGAATCCTCCCTCATTGATTGGTCATTGCATTTTCTGTAAAGATATTCTCAGAATCGAAGAATATAATAATAATAATTAAAAAAAAACTTGATGGGCATGTGAAATAATTAGTTTATGTTTTACAGTCTCCTTTTGTTCTTCCTTTCATAATACCCCCCTTAGTCATTATGATGTGGGTAGACTTCAGCTGGTGGGACCCAGTTGAGGGAAATAAGTTCTGTCAATGGTAAAAAAATGCTCTCTGGGTGACAGAGCAAGATGTACTATTATATCTATATCCCATGGGCTGGCTACATATGTACAAATCTATTTAAGTTGCTGCAGGTCCTAACAACTTGATCTACAATAATAAACAGTAG